TCTGGGCAAAACCTGTACTAAGGCACAGTAGAGTTGACATAAAAGAAACAAAAACTAAGATATTTTTAACCAAAAGCAGTCACGTGACAAGAAAAGTGAAGCTTAATTATTGTTTTAGAGGTTTCTTTTGAAATAAAAGAATAAAAACTTTGATAATATAAAACTTTGAATTATAATGTACTTGATAATAATAATAATTTCATTAAAATATGTTGATAGTAAAGTGGTTTAATTAAATTTTGAATTTAATATTAGTTACTGCACTCAGTAACATGTGCAGAAAGGAGTTTAAAAAGTATGTTGTCCTTAAAGAGTCAATTCTTACCTTAAAAAGATGATTTGTAAATGACTTAAAAAAGATAGTAATGCAATTCAATGTTTAATCTGGTTCACATAATAACAGTTGTTGTTCATAAAAAATTTATGATATATATGCATATATATATAGTGCATAGATCACTACTATGTCTGTTGTATCTTAGCCAGCACAGTGGTACTATGTCTGTTGTATCCCAGCCAGCACAGTGGTACTATGTCTGTTGTATCCCAGCCAGCACAGTGGTACTATGTCTGTTGTATCCCAGCCAGCACAGTGGTACTATGTCTATTGTATCCCAGCCAGCACAGTGGTACTATGTCTGTTGAATCCCAGCCAGCACAGTGGTACTATGTCTGTTGTATCCCAGCCAGCACAGTGGTACTATGTCTGTTGTATCCCAGCCAGCACAGTGGTACTATGCCTGTTGTACCCAGCCAGCACAATGGACCCTAGTATTGGGCAAAAGTCCTCAATGGTAGTGGATATGGCAGATACAGTGTAGTTAACAAAAAATATTCTCCTTTGTTTTCACTCCTGAATTCTTAGAATATACATTATAGTTCATTTTCAGTTTTTATAGAATTTGGCATCATCCCTACATAATGATGCCATCCCTACTATCTTGTTTGCATTGTTATTGAAGGATTGATATTAGCCATCCCTACATTTACTTCCTTTTTTTTTTAAAGTTTTTTCTTTACTTGTTTTTTTTATTGCAGTGTTTCAATAGACATAGGAAGGTTGTATTTATAACCAGGTTTTAAATACAGTGAGGTTCCAACTGTTATATTTATTTGCTATCTATTATTGGTTGGTAATTCCTGTTTCACCCTGTATTTAAGCTTTTTAAAGGAACACCAAATTGCTGTAAAAAAGTTAATTTCAAGGGATAATGATAACATGGTGTGCACTAGAATTATTATTTATTTAAATTACTAATAATTATTAATAATAAGTAAAAAAGCGGATAGTCCGTTTGAAATAATGTCTTCTCACTGAAATTAGTTTACACCATTGTTTTGGTTTTTGTAATAAAACAGAAGCAGAAGAACAAGAAATTCAAACTTTTTGCTATGATATTTACAGACATTCTCAGAGCTTGTGACTCAGCCATTACATAGATATTTATAAAAAATGAAACACCGTATAGTATTGTAAAGTTCTGATGACCTATTGAAGAGATATTTAAAATACCATTTCGATTAATAATCCGAACAATCCCTACATAGACAGTGCTGCCACCTGCCCGATTATACAGTTATCGTGATGGTTGTTGGGGCATTTAAATGTAAATCATTGCTGCAGTCTGGATGTGACATATAGTTAGTTTGCCTGAGCTGTGAATCCGAGAATTCATGGCTCGCGTCCCCATACCACAAAATCTGTCAAATTTCACTATTTGGTCGGACAAGAATAGTTCGAGAGTTGGCAGTGAATTTCCTGACTAGCTAGCTACATTCCCTCTCGTCTATCAGCTCAAAATTTGGAACGACTATGTGCAGATTGCCGAAATGATAAAACTCTGGGACATCAGACATTTATACATTAGTGGTATACATTTTACGCTATTTTTAATTCTCTTTTATCTTGTTGTTCAGCAGTATGTTCGGTAAACGTGTGTTTTAGGCTTAGGCTTGTAAGAATCTTGCTTGATATCAGCATGAGTTTTTATGTCATTTTGTTGTTTGCCCTTTCAAATTTACCAGTATTATGTACGAGATACTTTATACTAACCCTAAAATTATCGACCTTTTTTTATAGACTGTACCATTCATTACCTGTGTGGTCCTAATATTGCATCATATAGAGTAACCTTGTGTTTTTACCGTATTTTTTGGAATATAAGTCGCACCCTTATTTTGAAGACAAAGAATTGGGGGGGGGGGAAGCTACAGGCGCATTTGAAAGATTTTTCTTGAACAAAAATTCAATTTGATACTTTAAAAATTAGTATATATCGTTCTAAACACAAAAGAGCTCAAAACATCAAAATAAGCAAATACCGTAAATCAAAAAAGGTTTACTGTTATTTAGTTTGGTTCAAAACCTACAAAATCTTCATTGCTTTCACTGTAATTTATTTTCTTATTATTTAGGGAGCATTTTAAATAGTTATG